TATTATATACATGTAAAAAAATTCTCTAAAAATTAATAAAAATAAAAAATTGTAAAGTGTCATCAATAAGCAGTAAATCAATTCAATAACAGAAAAAATCTATAACTAGATATATTCATGAAAAGATACAAGTTTTTTTGTTTGTTTGTTTTTGTTGCTGGTGTTTTCAAGACAGGGTTTTTCTATGTAACAGTCCTGGCTGCGGTAGAACTCACTTTGTAGACTAGGCCGGCCTCAAACTCTCAGAGATCCACCTGCCTCTGGCTCCTAAGTGCCGGGATTAAAAGGGTGCGCCACCACACCCATCTTAAAAACACAAGTTTTAAGAGAAAGGCCTGGTGGCACATACTTGAAAGAAAAAGAAAATGTAAATTCGAAGGTTTCACTATATTTAACACTGAAAAATCTTCATGACCGAAATTATGGAAGAGAGCATGATATCAAAACCAGATTTCATTCCAAGCCCTGTATGAATTCCAATGGCTAAATTATGCTCCTATCCAAGGACTCTGTGCTTACAGGATGGGTGTGGGGCAGAGGAAGTCAGCCTGTAGCAGATAAGCCTGCCCCCAGGTCTTGAATCCTCAGACACCTAAGAAAGCTAGGGTCAGGCAGGGGCGAATGACAGTCCCACCAGCTGACAATTCCCAGGCCTCAGTGGTTTCCCACAGTCCCCAAACAACACAGCACAAAAACTCCGTGGGCTGACTCCCACTGTCAGGTAGGAGTGACGTGAGAGGAGCTGACCAGGGGACAGGCCTAAACACCCTTCCCTCCGTTAATGACAGGTTCTCCCTCCCCATCCTAGATTCCTCTTTCCAACCACAGGATGTTCACGGGCACGTCCACCCACATCCATCCTGCAAACCCTGAAGGGCATCCTACCTCTGCTGCAGAAGGCTTCCCCAATCTCTAAAGGCTGCACAGGGTGCCTGGTGCTACCGGAGGCTCACTCTGCCTGTGTGGTTTCCTGCAACTCCTACCTCGCTTTTCACACCTTACACTCCACTTATGGCTCCACTCCCCACTCAAACACAAAATAACATTTGGGGAGGAGAGGGGGCAGGGGTTGGGAGTAACACAATGCCAGGGCACTTGCCTAGAATGTTCTGGGTCCTGAACCATTCAGCCTAGTGTCTCACACATGCCCACAGGACTCTTCCACCCAGTGAAAGCCCAAGCCCTTTGAACTTTCAGTTTTGGGACAAGTTCTTACTAAATCCCCGAGGCTGGCCTTGAACCCACCTTGTAGGCCAGGCAAACTGGATTCACTGAAATTGTGATCCACCTGGCTCAGTCCTGAGCAGCTGGGGTGGCAGGCCAGTTCCATCAGGCCCAGCTTTCGTGAGTATTTATGCCACGTAGCTAGACAGGCCAGCCCTCCATTTCTCATTTAACCTTGGTAAGTAAAACACTGACAATGATGAACTCTGCCGCTCAGTCATAATATACAAACCTTTTTATTCTTTCAAGGTATGGTCTTATGTAGCCCAAACTATGCATCAATGGATAACCCTAAACTCTTCCTCCACCGCTCAAGTGCCAGGATTACGGGCCCGCGCCACCAGGCCTGGCTAAACAATACCAGTTTTCAAGGAGCGTTTCCAAAGTCTTGTATGAGGGAGGGTTTTCTTTTTACTTCCTAGGGGCTCAGGCAGCCAGCCACTTTTAAATTTCTTTTCTTTTCAATCCACTTTATGTCAGCCATAAGCGCAAACTTTTGGAAATCTCCATCTGAACTGATGTTATGTGATGAATCAAGACTAGAGGGAACGGGGCAGGGGATGCTTCGCTGACATGCCTTTGTGTGCTTCTTATGAGGTCCAATTCTGTGCTTCCGTTTATACTTGTGACCACTCATTCTGTGCTCTTGTCATGAGCAGCCTCCAGCCCATGCGAATCAGCCTGTGTGTTTAGACAACAATGATATTGCACGCATCCAAAAACCCCTCTTACTCATCTTGCAAGATAAACCATTTTTTTGTTTTGTTTTCTTTATCTCCCAATCCCTTCCTCAAACCAGAGTGGAGACTTCACAGGAACGAGAGAAGGGATGGACATTTATGGAATGAACCTCCAGGGAGCCTGGCAAATTCTAGCCCTTTCCTCTGTGGATCTCCGCCTAACAGGAGCCCTCAAAACACAAACACTAGGGAGGAGCCGTCTGGATTCAAATCACTGGTCCAGGTCTCAGAAGGGGTAGGAACCTGAGCAATGTTGCCTGGTTTCTCTCCAGGTCAATCTCTCTACCTGAAAATGAGGCTCCATGTGCTCTGGATACCAAGTACTTCACAGTTAACCACGTAGGGACGATGTCCACCTCAGTTCTAATCTGGGCAGGACAGTAACACCTGTGCCGCTGTCCCCACGCCCCATTCTTGCTAAACCTACTGAAAGACTTCCTGCCATCACCCAACAAATCTCATTTTGAGTGAAATTCAAGTAAATGAGCAGCCTCAACATGAGAGCAAGTGGGATTGTGTTTGTCTCTGTTTTGTTTGTATTAGTGAAGTGTGTGCATTTGGGTGACAGGGGCCTAGACTTCTACTGTGCAGTTCAGGGTCTCTAGTCTCTGAGTCTGCATCTCTACTCAGGTCTGCCTTGTCCAAGCATGCAGTCCTGCCTGCAGAGCAGGCTGCTGGAAAGGCTACATTTTGCAAGACACAAACCAAATGGCCTAGGATACATTAACTTAACAGAGAGAGAGAGCGGCTTTGTCTACTTCCCACTACCAAGAAAAACTTATGAAAAGGTTTTAAAGATTCTCAGATGCCACCCTTAGAGAGTCAGCTTGAGCCCAGGAGAAGCCACTAGCTGCATGGAATCTATTATTGCCAAACGTTCATCAACTCGCTGAACCCCTTACGTGTAGGAAATGTCAACACCACCCACGGAATGTCTTTATTTTGCTTTGCTGCTCTCACACGAATAATACTCAATTAAATATATTCTTGGGGGGGTGTGGGGGCATGGAGGCATGAGAAATGAGTCAAGGGCCTCATCCTGTAACCCAGGCAGGCCTGGAATTCACTGTTAAGTCCAGATTGACCTCCAGCTCCTGGGATCACAGGTGGAGCCCCCACGCCTAATCTAAGCATTTCTAGAGAACAGAGACGAATGTGTGTGCTTACCCTCAGCTTTTGACCTGAGTCAAAGAAAGCAATCCTTAACACGTGTGAGTATTAAAATTTTACAACTGATCCTTCAGCTACATTTTTTTTCCCCTTCGTTATATTGCCTCAAGTGCCTGCAAACTTAGCTGCCACCCTTTCTGCCTCTTCTGCCCCCGAGATAACAGTGTTTTAGGCTGCGGAATTAACATGAAGCCTCTTAATTTTAACTAGTTAGGGCTGTGAGGGGCATTAAATATATGTGAAGCTCCTAATTAAACACCTGCAAAACCCAGGCTGTACAGAACCAGAAGAAACCAGAGAGGACCCTTTATAAGCACTGACCACCCATAGAGACTGTAACTGAAAGATGTGGGGGGGGGGGGCCCCACACCACCTCCTCCTAGACTTTTGCACTGGTATTCTCAAAGACATGCAAGCACAGCGTATATGGCAACTTTACCCCACTTCAGGAGTAAGCATCAGCAATACTGAAGCGTTGGAACAACTCTCGGCCTGCAATGGAGCTGCATAAACATGTGTTGATACCGGTCGTGCTGGCTCTACTGCAGTACACAAAATACTTTTTTTTAAGGCTAATGATTCAGGCGACTCTTAGAATAACTTCTACTTGAGAAGCTGTAACTATGAGGTCCTATCAAGAGTCTCTCCAGCTGTTGAGAACTCAGTTCTGGAATTTCCCCTCTGCTTGCCCATTCCTGACAATCCTTAAGTCCAAATATCACCGTTTAATGACCCCAGAGGAGTGCTTCTGGCCTCCAATGAACTCAGAACTCCATCTAAATCTTCAGTAGGCCTTCTGATAAATGTTTATGGCATTAACGAGAAACCTAGCCTCCTAAAGGCGCAGCTGGCCTCCCGGCCCCCCGGCCCCGCCCCCTAGTCTTCCTTTATAAGAGGAAGCTGAAAGATCCTAATACGAGAGTCAAGAATCCAGAACCCTAGAGACCTGATGCACTTCGGAAGACGCAATGACAGTCGTGAGGTCTAAGCAATGGCTCAAAAAATGGGGCACCCACTGCCCGGAGAAACGCTAGACGCTAGCAGGGGTACAAACTGTCCCGCAGAGAACGGAACCGGATGGTCGGAAACCAAGTCAGATCTGCACTGATCCCAAGGCCCCAACCCTCTTCCACCACCCTCCTTCCTGTTTATGGATCCGCTCCCACAACTCCGACTACCAAAGGAAAAGCAGACATCTCCGAAATATGTCAACACATGACACAACTTGAAGAAGCCGGCTGCTCTTTGGCGCGAGTTACAACTTGCCGGGCTCACACTGGCAAACAGGCTCACTTTAATTACTTTTCATTTACTACGCCACGCTTCCCTTGCAGGGCCCCCGCAAAGGCCGGGTTAGTGAGAACCGGGGAGTCCCGGTGGAGGGAACCGAAATGTGTGGGCGGGAGAGCCAGACACCAGGCTCTGCTCGCACAGGCGCAGAAGCAAGGCTGGCACCGCCTCTCCGGCTGTAGCAATCCACGGTCGCGCGGCGCCGTGGCCGGGGCCACGACACCGCGCGGAAAGGACAGGGCTGGCCTAGGGCCGGCCACCTTTGTCTGGGCTTCCCCACCCACCGGGACGCAGAATGCTTCATGGAGAGGTCGGTGACCTGCTTCATGTTCCGGACTAGCTCGCGGTCGCCTGCTATCTCCCACTTCCCGCGCGCCAGACACTGCTCGTGGGCGCATCCCTGCGCTCCTGCACCAGGGTCACGGCTCGACGGGCCAGACGGGCCACTGTGCCAGCTGCAATCATCGCGCATGTTACTGAACCGCTCCTGCCGAGCCAGCCTAGCAGCAACACTCGGGCCCGGCGGGACGGTGCGACAGTCCCGCACACGCGTGGCCCGCCCCGGCCCCGTCTCACCTGCCTGAACCGTATCCGAGAGGTCGTGCCCCGGGGCTGCCGTCCGGGGAAACTCCTTCAGCTTCCTTGCGCTCAGGTTCAAGCCCCCAGAATTGGCCGCCTCTTCCAGCGCGCGCTCCAGCCCACGGTTCAAGGGCAGGTTGAAGCCCGCGCCTCCTCCAGTGCCTCCGTGGTGCTGGTGGTGCTGGTGGAGATGCGGGTGCAGGGCGGTTACCGAGAGGGCGGGCGTGAAAGCTTGGGGTTCGCTTCCCGGCGTCGCCATCTTCTCCCGGTCCCCCGCCCCGCTCTTGCGCGGGGGTCACAGGTTTTCCCCGCAGCCCTGAGTCCCGGTTGCGCTCTCTCGCAAGCCCCGGGATGGAGGGAGGGGTAGCGGACGGCGCAGACCTAGAAGCAGCGGCTCAATTGCTAAGGTTTCCAGCCGGGGAAGCCGAGTGCGGCGGCGGCGGCAGCGCGCGCGCACGTGTCTGCTCGAGCTCGCGCCCGCGCCCTTGTCCGCGCCCCTAAACCCGCATCTCCACCAGCACCACCAGCACCACGGAGGCACTGGAGGA